ATTTTCCTGCTTTAAAGGTGGTACCGAGTGGAGAAGATGAGGATTCCCCACCTCACTCTCCTTTGGGTACCTGAACGAGTCTGAGCATTGGGCAGGCTTGCCTGAAACATAATAATCCATCTTCCAAAAAGAAGTAGTAATTTAGAAGTACAGCTTTGCAGCCTTTCTGTGGAGGTTTCCACCCCAAAAAAAACCCCCCCGCCCCGTGTTCCTTCGTATGTTCACTGCCCACATAATGTTACCCACGGGATGAGGGTGGGAGGGGGAAGCTTGTTCTCTTTCATGTGACTGCAGCACAGTTAATAATTGTACCAGACTTCAGGCGCTCGTGTGACCAGAGGGATTGATCAGATTCGTAACTGGACAGAAGTTTTTCAGGCACATCTTTGTGTCTCAGCATCCCAGCAAATTCAGAGGAGGAGCCAGATCTGCCTTCTCTGTGATTGCTCATTTGTTATGAGCTGGCTAGTGTATAGCACACAGAGACAAAGGCTGCCCTGGCCTGAAAAGCCCCCAAAGAAAAGCAATATAGTAAATACATCTGTAAAACGGTGTTCAAGTTACAGACTGCATGCCTCTCATGCGCTCTCACTTGCTCGCTCCACCCCCCCCCCTTGATGCCTTAAAAAAGGGATGGTAAACTAGTTTGATAAAATGCATCAAGTGCTAAACTGTTGATATGTTTTATAAAAAAAAGAGGAGTCTTTGCTCAGGCATATGTTTCCAACACTTTAATCTTTTATGGACTGCATACTTGCTGTGGGAGTGGAAGAGGATGTTGCAGGCTTACTTTCAATGTACTTAGAAATCTTTCCCACAGCAAGAAAACTCCCAGAAAACATGTGAAACAACCGACTGGAAACCAGGAAGTTTCTGATGCCTAGCACTCATTGCTCTGAGGGATTTGCTGTGCTCTGGAGGTCATGCAATAATCTTTCTTCTTTGTTGGCTTCTCTAAGTTTATTTTACACATGATGAAGGGGTATGTGTGTGTTGCTGAGCTTTTAGGGGTCCTCGTTTCTATAGCGTGTTTTTGCCCCTGCTTCTTTTGTTACCGTACTCCTATGGTTAGTATGTCTGCTGGTTAAAATGGCTACTGAACCACCACCATGTTCTTGCCACTGGTCACCAACTGCTTAACCCCTGTCAAAAACCACCCAGCACAGCTTTGAGTTGATACTTTTGTTGCTTAGCAGGTATATTTCTGATCTTTGGGCTGTCCATTAACCCTGTGAGTACTGTAGACAATGACAACATAAATCGGCCGCAGTGATGAACGTACGTCCTGATGCTGTGATCACTGTTGCTGCCCCCGCAGTGCGCTCTGGTTAGGTTCGCATGGCATGCAGTCTTCTGGGTGTGTGGTTTGGGGGGTTTTTTTGCTTTGTTCCCCCACCCCCTTACCGCTTTGCATAGTTTTGGGGGTTTTTTTGAGGAGCTATAGAAGTTGCTAACGTAGAAAAGCAGCGACAGAGGCAGGAAGTTCGGCAGTTGAGGGCGGGTGGTCCTGGTGAGTCGATAAGGAAGATCCAGTTCCCTACAGTAAAGAAACCGTGCGTCCAGTTTCAGTCTGTGATGGACTCAGCGTTTTGTCTTCTGGCATCTCCTTTCCGTGTGCTGGAGTGCAATGGAGCGTGAAAGGAGTTGGAGGAGAGAAGGGGCTGCAGCATGGGTCTGGTTGCCAAAAAAAACCCCAACCACCTCGACCAAAAGGAGAGTTAACCGGAACATACCACAAAACAGGTTAGGCAGGACGCTGAAGCCAGATAGGAACCTTCTCTCGTGCTTTAAGGCATCTTCAGTACACCCTCCTCCCTCTACCCTTTCGGTGTTTCCCCCCTTCCCCTCATGAAACAGTCCTGTGCCGACTGGGTTTGAACGTGGGGCAGGCCGGCGGTTGCGGCGCTCGCTCGCCTGCTGCCAGCTGTTTCTCAAGAAACAGCGGGTGCACTTGTCCATGCCCGTCATCCCCTCGCAGAGCCAGCCCTGGGCGCGCCGTCCGCCTCTCTGCTGGCCTTCCTGCCCTCCGCTGGGTTGCCTTCCGAAATAGCGGGGGAGGAAGAGCAGCAAGGAGACAGGGAATGCTGGCGGGTGGAGCTTGGAGGGCTGATCCTCCACATAGTTAATCATTACTTGCAGCATAACCTGTTCCTGTTTTCTAGAGGTTTCACTGGCACCCGCAGCCAGAAGCATATGAGGACTATGTGACAAACTGCTTTCCGAGCAAGACGGTTTGCCTTGTAGCATGAAGCCCAGTGTCTAATACAAGACATCATTTCTTCTGTAACATGTTTATGCCTAATCGTTCAGTAAACATACCATATATAGTCCGGTTCGTGCTTGCTATAACACCCTGCTGCAGGGCGACTTTGCTAGTACCACACAGATTCCTTAGCTCCTGGTAACCGGCTGACAAATAGGATGTTGCCATATGCAACATAAATATTCCACACAACTGGGGTTTTTTACACTGCAGCTCATAGTGTATAAAGCACTGTTACTGATCATGGCAGTCTGAAGTCTGCCACTTTGAAAAACGAAGAGGATTATACAAAACAAGGTGCCCTTATCAAAGGATGGATCGGGTCCTACGGGTGCATTTTTGTTGCAGAATAAATATTCCACTCTTTATGTATTGTAGTTTGTATTTATGAATCAGTGTTTTGGGGACTTTTTTTTTCTTTCCTTTTTCTCCTCTCTCAGCTTTAAATGCCTGTTGCCTCCTAGGTGATGGGTCCCAAGCTAGAGCTATGATTCACTGCGGACTTTCTCTTTTCATTCTAGGTTTTCGTAGAATTTCTTCCCTTCCTCTTTCTCCGTGCCCCCTTTTTGTTTACCCTGTGCTAGCAGGGTACTGAGCATGGCAGAGGACATGAAGAGCAGCACTGCAGCTGGATTCACAGCTTTCCTAATCAGCTATTACATACGGTTTGCCTTGGGCTTTTTCTTTTTTTTTCTTCTTTTTTTTTTTTTTTAACATTGTGAAGTGAGTTCAGTAACATTCTGACTCTTTCTGTGCTAGCAGAAGTGGTTTGGGAAAAGGAGATGAAGCCTGCCGACTTAAACTGGAGTTAGGATATTTTTGCCTTTTTGTTCTTTCTACTTCTTGCCTTGTTCCTTGATGTGTGAGAAGACAGCGCAGTGGTATGGACCCCAGATAACCTTGCACAGAGCTTTCTGGCTGTCTGCTTGGTGATGGCCGTTAGCGCCTGGGTCTAGCAGTTTAGCGATGGGCAGGGTCTCCCGTACCACCGAGATGGTTGCTTAATTAGAGAGGATGCCTGTTAGATGTGGATCCATACAGGTGGATTTTCATCTGTGACTTGCTCCTTGTTTAGGCAACGCTTCCAGATGGAGAGACTTTGCAGGGGGGAATGTTTGGGTGTTACATAAATGGACGGGATACGCATTTCTCCGACTTGTCTCTCATTGGCCTCGTCAGGGTGAATTATGTCTGACTGCTTGGCAGTTAATTGGACCATCCTTCCCATTTCCTAAGCTGATAAGCCCCTCACTGTCTGCCTCAATCAGGCTTCTTTGTTTGAGAACTTACGCTGTAGAAGAACAGAATAACTACTTTCCTATGTACTGTAACTAAATGGAGTGCTCTGATTGATAAGTCTATGAAGATTTACCAAATTTCTTCAGCAGAATCCTCTCACAACGCTTACCTGTACCGTAACACCTGTAGCAGTTGATAGGCACTGAAAAGTAGGTATAGCTGGTGTGTTTAATATATACCTTGTCCCTTTCTGAAAGAATTGCGTTTGTGTTTAAGTTCTCCTGTGAGCAGCTTTATTCTGGCAGATCCTGGTAGACATGCAGGGTACCACGGGGGACTGTAGTTGTCTGTCTGTCAGGATCGTGTCTCAGCAATGGCTCCTCTTTACCTGGGAGTGTCTTTCTTGATGTGTCTGGGCCGTGCCTAGCTTGAAGTGGGTGTTGCCAGAAGGTGAGTAATAAATGATGATTAATCATCTTTGAGCTATGGATGAGTTTGTATGAAAAAGCACTAGGCTAAAGGCTGTGCTTCAACAAGCTCATCAGAATTAACCACGCAGGAGACAGTAGCATAGCATCCCGAAGGTCTGATTCTTCTGTCTCTTGACTGATTTTGTTTTGACTTCTGTGGATTTACTACATCTGGTTGATGGAGAAACATGGGTCCCTTTGTCTCCAATGTTAAATGATATCAGCATTACAGATTGCAAATGGGCTGAGTGATACAGAATTGTATGCACTAGAAGTAAACACCCTTTTGTTAGATTGCTCAGTAATCTTTTTGATGCGAAGGTGTGGTTATGAACCTTGCAGGTATGCATCCTCGTGTTTGTACCATTGAGTCTATGATACGAATGCATACGGAAGATGGAAAGGTACCAATTCCTGTGTTAATTAAATCTTGAAAAGTGATTTTATTCTACAGGAGACCACTTGTCCTTTGCTGTCAAAACTGTAAATAAATAAAAGTAGAAAACCTAAAGCCATAATGATTTTTCAAATAGTTTCCATTCTGAGTTTACATATTGATTTGAGCAACGCATTGCATCTGGTTGATCGTACAGTTATTTCTAAAACCTTTTGAGAAGTAGGATTTGTCACAGAAATCTTCCTTCTCCCCCCATCCTTCGACTATTTCTGGCAGCTTTCAGGGCCCTAAGCACACAAAGCGAGCATTGGAGGATTTGCTCCTTGCACAGAGATTGGAAGGACTGGGCTTTTCTGTTCTTAAAAAGCTGTCCAAAATGGGGTTTGTCTTGACTTGGGCATAGAGGATGCAAAGTATGCAAAGAAAATAAATGTGCATTGCATTGTGAGCCTATGTTTGTAGGTACACTCCAATCTCGGGAAGTGACCACTGATTTATTTTTCATTGTAGCTCTGAGTTGGTGGTGTTGAGCCGGCAGATGTCTGTGGCATCGCCCTAGGATGAGGAGAGGATGTAGATGCTGTTGGAGTTCAAGCAGCCGTTAGAGGTGTTCAGCTGTTATTTGTTCGTTATGTCGGAGAGACGTAGGAACTCGGGTGAGCTGAACGTGGGGCTTGGTCAGTAGGACCTGGTGGTCGCTGTCCCTTCCTCCTGAGGACTTGTTGGCAGTCATCAGACCCCAGACAGACAGCCGGTGGCCTCTGGTACTGTGGCTTCTTTTATTAGCATTTTTATTGCTTGACATTCAAGGTGATGGGTGGAGAATTTGCATTTGGATTTTCAAGTTTCTGGAAGAGTGTTTGTGCTCTGTATCTTGTCTGAACCTTACCCAAGCTGGTTCAAGACCAGCTAACAGCCACTGATTCAAAGGCCTTGCCACCTACCATGGGATCAGCAAGCTTCAGTCTTTCTGAGTGGAGGTGATGAGGAAAGAGGGGGAGGAGGTGTCCATGTCTTAAAAAAGAGCTGAAAAGGAGAACTACTCACTAAAGTTTTTGGAGAGAAAGATGCTGTGTGTGTAGTACTTAATGTGCATCGTGCTCTGCATGCATGGCAGCATACTTATGTGGCTTATGGGAGAGCAACTCAGTAGGCTGCAGTGGAGTCTTAGCAACTGTGAATGGAGAGAAAGCAGGAGGCAGCCTGGCTTCCCTGAAAGAGCTAGGGGAACATCAGGGATGGAGAAGTTTAGGAAGTGTTTAGCCTCAAAATTAGGGCAACTTGAAAATGAATTAACTGCTGGGCCTGTAGTGATCTGTGTGTTCATGTATGTATAGGACTTTAAGCACAGAAAGGTTTGGGGTGAATCTGGAAAGGGTCCATCTTTAAGGAATGTAGTTCTTCTGGCTTCCGAAATAGCTTTTTGTGTAGACAGCATGGAAAACGATTACAAAAACAAGTATGGCAAGACACTTGATGAGATGGGAAACTGACAGTGCTAAGGCTGCGGCTCTTGGGCTTGAGTGATTGTGAGAGAATTGCAGGTTTTTTCTCCTTCCTTTTTCCAAGCAAACATTTTCTGACTCGTGAACAACCACAAGTGGAGTTTATCCTACAGTCTTAAAGTCAGCAACCCCAAAAATGCATTGAAAATCTCTCTTGACTTTTGGAACGGGGGGGTGTGACAGCAACTGGACTCAAGGAGAAAAAGAGACTTTAAATGTTTGCTGGCAATTCCATCAGTGTAGTCTGAGACTTCGTCTGCTGAGATGTCAGACTGTCCACTTTCACTGTTTTGGAGCGGGGGTGACTGGGACTGACCAGACCAGTTTTTAGGGAGCTTAGTTAGCTTCCTAATTTCCAGGTATACTGAGAGTCATCAGGGACAGGAGTGGAGAGAAAATATCAGCAAGTTCCTCTGCATGAAGGAGGCTGGGTTGCCAAGAAGATTTTCAGTTGGAGATCACCAGGCAGCTTTATTACCTTGTCTTCCCTTGCATGCGGCTCTGCCAAACTTTAACCATTTGTGCTGAAACACTACATGCCAGGTGTTTAGCCTCAGGCCACATTTGTTTTAGTTGAAAGAAAAATAAGTAATAAAAAAAAAATTTCTTTAGCCATTTTTAGGAATGCAGCTAAGGGAAAAGTATCTTCAGGTTTTGAATTCTTTTTCACGTCCTCTCTTTTCTTACTGGAAAGAAGAAAAAACTGCAACAAACCTAGCATCCCTAAAAAAGGGGGAGAAAATCTGACCTGTTCTTCTAGTCCTCAAAGCTGTAATGTAGAGGCACTGAGATTTGGGAAGGGTGAAGTGGGTGGGAGATTGCAGTTATAGCTATCGATTGAATAAGCTTGCTATTGATTATCATAGCTGATAATCGTCAGCAATGGTGATTTCTCCAGTGCATTCTGTTCTTAATGTCTGTTGCAGTAGAGATGGTAAAAAGGACTGTGCGTGACCTAGTGAAAACCAAGTGTCCTTGTGTCCCTCTTACTTCAGACCAGAGTCAGTCAGTTCAGCTCTGTGAATATTGAAGTTGCCAACCTAGTCCCACATCTTGAGTTAGAGATTTAGCCATCTTGTATACCTCTGTATTTGTCTGCTCTTTCACGTGCAAAAAACAGATGGGGAATGCGTGACTGTGATGTACAGGTATAGGCATAGAATTTCTGGTTGAGAGGTTTGTCAGTGTAAGATGAAAACGTTGTTCTCGTGAATGTGCTTTACTTCGTAGGCACTTCTGTTCCATATGGAGTAAGGGTAGTCTGAAAGTTGTCTGACAAGATTTGCACACCTTGCCAGACACCACTGGTCTCCTAAATAAAAACAAAAGCCCAGGAGTTCCTAAATACCTGTGCGTATGATGTAAACAAACTTACTGATGCAGGGGCCCCATAGCCCTCCCTTGCAGACTGCAACTTGCACTGGAACCTTTGTAGCTTCTCTTGAAGCAAATGGATCTCTTCCATAGAATGGGCCTCTTGGTATCAATTCATTAGCAAGACTGAGGCCATGATTTGTAATGAGCCCTTAGGTGTAATTTGCAATAGCCTGCTGACTGTATCTTACTAGGCTAATGTGGGTGCAAGAGGGAAACAGATTGAGGCTGGAGTAATATTTACCTTCGCTTCCAATCAGGAGGAGTATCTAGAGCAAAAAGGAATGTGCCACACCTAGGACCTCTGGAGTGGAGTTGGCTTTTCTGGGAACTTGGGCCACAGAGAGTGAAGTACCCCTGATGCTGTATACGCAAGGCAAAGGCGGTACTGTCTTTAAAAATATGCATATGAAAACGGAACTGGAAGTTACTGCGAAGCCGCATTTGCAGGTATCATAGCAAGGAAATTTTTAGAAACCAGACCTGAAAGGTTTTACAGCAGCGAGTATCTCAGGATACTCCCTGACATTTCTCATTTGCTTTGCTGAAGTGTTAAAAGAACCCCTGGCTTCCATAGTTATAGCTAGCAATTAATAAATTACTTTAGAATTTTGTTTTGTTTTGTTTTGATTATATACAGTGTGTACGTATAATATGTATTTCAATGTGCATTTAAAACATACTTTTTCTTGATTATGGAAGGGGAGACCATAGAAAGAGTATTTTAATGTTCTTTGGCAGGACACTTGATTGAAGTCATTTATTGATATTAAGCACCCCAGAGCAATATTGAATAGCTGTGTCCTCCTCTGTTTTGAGAAACTCCTCAAAATGAAAGAAAAATCCCTTTTTTGTTTGTTTTCCAAGAGAGAAAAAACCTGAATTTCAACAAGTTAAACAGTTCAGCGATTCATATTCCATTTCTTGTGAACTTCCCCCTCTCCCCTGAGCCCAGCCACTCTTCCCCTCTGCTCTTGCCCACAGAATTAACATGCAACTAATTTTAGAGGTGGGTTTACACATTTATTTTAAAAACGCTGCAGTCTCCATCTCTGGTAATCCACCAGGTGGAAGCAGATGTGTAGAATATCTGTACATGCATTTGTAAATCGGAGTTTGAGCAGGGGGGGTTTCTAAGAGGGCAGCGTGTGTGCAAAGGCGAGGGAACCCTTGACCATGCAATACCATCAGTAAAGCAAAAATTTGCAATTAACCACGGGCTGGATTCGTTGGTGGTTTTTGTTCATGTGGTGGGCTGAGTGACATTGTATTAGCCAATTCTTCTGATGGATGGTTAGAGATCAGTTGCCTGGCTGTTCTGAATTACAATAGGGAGAAGGCTGTCGGGGAGGGGACGGGGAGAATAAGATAGGAAGTGGTTTCTTAGAGATGGGTGCTCTTCTTGTGCTAACAGAAGTTTTGGTCTGGTAGCCTCACGTGTGCTTTTCTGACCTACAAGCCTGTTTGTAGCTTTAAAAATCCTGATGTCTTCTTCCTTTCTGCCTGCCTTCCCATTAACCACCTGGCACCCCTGTACCTCTCTGCTCGTGCAAAAAATGGCATCTTTGAAGTTTGGGGGATATCCCTTTTGTATTCAGCCCTCACAGCGATTTTGCTTTGAGTGCATCTTTGTCTTGTCTGGAAATATACTAAAAGTGCTAAAAGTTTTATTTTGTTTGATTGAGGGATGGGTGGGGGGGCAGGAGGAGTCCACGTGGTATCAAACAGGAAGCTTGAGGTAGCTCTGAGTGACCTCCTGAAACCATCCCTCCGGCCTGCGAACGCTTGCTGTTCCCTAAAGGCAGTCATTTGGAAAGGGGCTGCGCTATCCAGATTAATCTGCCTGCTGCCTTTCATGCAGCTGAAACACTGTGGCCGTGTACTGCTGCAGGTTTTTGTTCTGTCCTTTTACGGTTTTTGTCATTGCTTCTCCATTAACCTGTTGCAGTAAAATTCGTGTCACTGCCTGACAAACTGCTCTTAATAACTGAAGCTTTATTTATAGAGCAAAGCCTGGACAGTAAGGCTTGTTGAACATATATTGGCTTAAATAATTTCCTTACTGACTTGTACTCTTTGAGCTTTGCTTAATTCTGAGCATGTTACAGAAACAATCGAATTGCCTAAAAGTGAAGTGTTCGTTTCCAGCTATACCAGTGAAGATATTTGCATTTTAAGTCCAGAGTTGCAAAACTTGGTCCTCTACTTGTACTCGGTGCATGTTAGGACAAAAATGAAATGGAGGAAGAGCTGAAAGCAACCGTTTGCATCACTTGAGGCCCAGTGGGAGCTGAAGGTCAGGATCACTGAGAATTAATCAGTTCACTAGAGAATATGATAATGCAAGGAAATGATGGTATTGCAATAAGGTTTTCTTTTTTTTTTTTTATTAATAGCAGAAACTTTAAAAATAAAAAGAGAGCAAGAGAAAGCCTGGGAGCAGAAGTGGCCTGAAGGGGAAATGGCCAAGACCAGCTTAGAAACGCAGAGAATGGTGGTTCAGGAGTGCTGCTTCGCTGCGTCTTTGTGTGAAACTCCTTTCTGTCTTGTGGAGGGGGAGAGAGAGATCACAGCCCTGTGAAATCTGACTTCTTAATGCTGTTTTGAATAAAGTGACATAGTTCTGGGCCTTCCGCTTTTCTTGCAGATTGAGGATTTTAAAAAGGGAATGCTGGGCCTGCGGAAAAGTGACTATAATCGCAAATCTGAAAGCGGCATGTGGGCCTTTCTTGTCGTTTTTAACAAGCCAAAATGTCGCAGAAATCTGCCCAGGCAAACTTTTGGTCCTGCTGTGCCCC